TCTGTTGGCACTGAGGCTTGAGGGGGGGTCCCTTTTCCAAAAACACACCGCACTCCGCTTCACCACCCTGAGCATAATAAATTCTTGGGCACGAGACCGGAGAGGGGTGCACTAACGGAGTAGCGTGTTTTACTGGGCTTGGCAGGGCAACACATAGACCGGTGAGAGAGGGGAAAGCAGGGGGGTGGTGGTGGTGGTGGGGGTTGTGGGGGGGCGTGGGGTGCTGCAAAAGAAGGGTGGAAGATTTATAATTGAATAACTCCCTGAAGCAGGGCAGCGGGGATTGGCCCTGCCAGGAAAAGCAAACGCCAAGGAGCAAGCGAGGCCTGTGGAAGTCAGCCATTAAAGTGAGAGGAGAGAAAACCTCAGCTGTGATCCGCCTCAGCAGAAAGGTGCGAGATTTACTAATGATAACTGAAAAACCACAACACCTACCTACTTTGTATCCCCCGAACTCTGATCCTAGAGCAGCACACGCCTCCAAACACTGAAGCAAACACACATCAGGCTGCGGAAAACAGCTGTTCAGTTCAACAAAACAAACAACAACAACAAAAAAAGGCTCAAAATGAACCAACGGCTTGTTTTGATCCAGTGTCACTTATTTGTTTATTAACTTAAAGTTAATTGCCCATGTGAAGTGTGATGAGTTCGACCCAGTGAGCTCAGATTTGACCATAAAACTGTCACAGATTTATTGTCAGTCGTACAAAGTTAAAACCTGTTACAAATAAACACGTTATTGTTAAAATAAAGCAGATTATAACTGTTCACAACCATTTAAATAATGACAGTAATATTGTAAGATAATACTAATGTTGGAGCTGTATTGATGCACATTGAACCAGCACTTGACAAAGGTTGGTTTTGATGCAGTAACACAACACTAATAAAGACAATAACTGTGGATCAACCCATCGTCACCAGTTTTCTACCCATGATAATGAAATATTGTTTTTGTGCTCAACTTTCACCCTGTCATTTTATTTTGTAGATTCTCACAAAAAAAAAAAAGTGGGTTAAAAATAAAGATAATAAACTTTATTTCTATAGAGTCTTTCAAAACCAGCGCTACAAAGACACAGAGGAAAGAGAAATAAAGCCAAAAAATTTAAAGAACATTGAACATTAAAACACTGATCTCAAAGTTGAGAGAGAAACATTAAGTTAGTGCTGCTCCTGTGCTGCATTGACCCAATCTGGGTCAGTGTAGCACACTTTTTAACCCAGGTGATTTATAGTCTGTCTCTTGTATTTAAAAAAAAACAACATCAGGCTATAAGACAGGAAAAATATTTGAGGGGAATTTATTCCAAATTATGCATTTCAGAGTCTCTGGAACAACATAACCGCATTGTTTTTCCTGTCCTGACTGAACTTGCAGGGGTTATCCCAGAATGCATCACTCTGCCTTCTTGGACTCTGGGTCTTTTTTCTGTGGAAGCAGAAGGAGTGAAGGCGGCGAGGCGGGGTGCTCTACCAATGAGTTTATCTTGCCTGTTTGGCTTGGCGTTGGTAAGTGGAGAATGAAAGCATGGTGGAGCGGCACTGTCAGGCATGAATGGAGTTCTGACTGAGTCGACTCACTTTTCCCAGAGAACGCAGCCTCACATCGGATGAGTTATGATAACTCAGGACTGATAATCCACGTGGAACTGAGCAGAACCTGCAGCGGTGTAACACGGCATGCACCACTGACAGGTTGTCACATAAATGTACATTCATCACGTCCACTTAAGTGATGAATCATCTTAATATGACGCTGAGTAAAGTTCTCTGGTGACAAAGCAGCGCCCTTCTTTCCCATTCTGAGTCACTTTGCAGATTATATTAAATGTGTAAAGTTTCAGGCGTCTCACAAATTTAAAAAAGGCCGTAAAGTTAAAAAGAAAAGAAAAGAAAAAGGTAGAGTTAAAAACGGGAAAATCTTGCTGCTAATCATTAAAAAAAGAAGCTTTTCCTCATAATACAAGTGAAGATTTAATAAACCATGTCACACTCAATGACGCACAAAGGAAAAAGGAAAGTAAAAAGGCTTTCAGCAGTGCACTGGCACCTTTTTACCTCCTTCAGCATGGAAAACTGATGTGCAGTCACAGCTACACACACACACACACACACACACACACACACACACACACACACACACATAAGCCTGGAGTGTCTGACTTGCTTATTTTATCAGGTGCACCAGTTTCCCCCCCCCCCCCCTAAAAAAAAAAAAGAAAAGCACCCTGATGTCTCCCCCTCCCTGGCTGCCAATCAGAGTTTGTCTGCTTCAGTTTCTCTTCTCTCCCACCGGCTCCTCATAATGAAAAAGATTTCCTCAGTCTTACCTGATCATCATGTTCAACCATATTAAACTGCACTGAAAGTCAAATATCCCCGTGTCATCACGACCTGTTGCACGCTAGTTATGACATGCAGGATCATTTCCTGCCTCTCTCTCCTGCAGCTTCATGTTTTCAGTTTTGACTAAAGGACTAAAGTAAAAAAAAAAATAAAATAAATCTTCAGCTGTATGTTTGGCTTTCCAATCAGATAAGTTCTAATAGCAGAGAGACTGTGGTGTGTGATATGAATCTCATGTTGGATCAGTGTAACCACAGCTCCTGCCGCACTGTTTAAGATTAGCAGTACAAATATTAGACATTTGGTTGTGGCAAAAAAAAAAAGAGAAAACCTCAAAACAGATTGAATTAAATCTAAGCATCAAAAATTGGGCGAGTTCGTCAAATTTCCTGAATGGAGGAAAAGGAAGAAAAAAAGAGGAGGCTCAATGAGAAAGTCTCCTCTGTCTTTTCAGGAGTGGGCAACTTAACAGCTCGCCATCAGGTAACAATCTTTTTATTTGTTTCAGTCCCTCGCTGGGTGCCAAAGTCTGCGAAAGGACTGAGCGTGCGGTGTGATCCATCAGCCCCGTCCAAGAGCTTCAGCATGGTAATCCATCTAAACCAGACTCAGAATAGAATTAAATAAATACTTCCATGCTCTGAAACCTAGAATTATTTTACTACTGTCATTCTCACTGCAGAGCAGCGCTGCCTGCACTTAAATGAAAAAGAAAGGAAAAATAAATCAGATAATGTGAATTAGTAGCGTGGAGGAACGGGTGGAAAGTTTTGGGATAGATTTACTGATCACACTCAATATATGTTCACTGATTCGTCCTGCATGTGTCCTAATCACTCCGGCTCCGCTCAAGCACAAAGATGAACTTATTTGTTTTGGGTTTAATTGTAGATTATGATCTTGATTTAATCGTGTTGAGTTTCAGCCAAAACACCAGTTTTACATTAATACAACAGTCTGTAAACAGAACAAACAACCTGTTCGCAGTCAGACTGTAAAATGTTAATTCCACATAAAAATTTTATGATTGTGATGATGAACTGTTGGATTTTTTTTTTTTTTTTTTTTTTAACAGAATAAACTGACTTTCCATTGGCTGCCAAAATTCACTGTAAAAAGCAAAAGTGTGTGATTTTAACTGGGAAGTTCCATCTTTAAAATTCAGAGTTTAAAGCTCAAATGAGACTTTTTAAGAAGACAAAAACAGATTTAGAGAAAACTTTCAACCAACATATTCTGGTCTGAACTTCCTCTTTAATAATAACAACAACAACAATAATAATAATAATAATATAATAATCCCAGATAACCAGTGATCCACCTGCAGGTCCAGCTCCTCTGTGGAGACTTTAGGAGCAAAGCGGCTTCAAGACTGAACTTATCTCATGAAAATGTGTTGTACAGATTTCCTCGCGGGAACAAGATGTGTCTGTCTGTGCATGTGTGTGTGTGTGTGTTTGTGTGTGTGTGTTGTGGTGGTGTGTGTGTGTGTGTGTGTATGTGTGTGTGGCCCTGCAAAATAAGGCAATTATATGCATGTATTTTTTCAGAGTTATAGCCATGAACAGCACACACACACACACACACACACACACACACACACACACACACACACACACATGGCATGCCTGTGCGCTTTAAAGCTAAATGGTTCTTCTAGGCTGAAATTCACCAGCTGCTGGCAGATGTTGATCATGGAAACTGTCATTGTTCCTGTTTATCTGTAACTGCAGGCGTTAATAGAAGCGTTAATAATCCTGGAGCCTCCGGACTGACTCTGACCTTGACGCTCCAGGACTCACGGTGTGAAAAGCTGCTTCTTCTCCATCACCTCTTTTAAACATTAAATTCATTATTTTACAAGCTGTTTTATTTTATTGTCACAATATATTAAATAACTAGCTAATAAAATACAATTACGCAAATTACTGACTTGCTGAAAATACCAACCACCGAGTATTTTGAATGTGTGTAATATTTGTTTTGTCTTTCTGATTATTTTAGAAGTGAAGCAGAAACGCTCTGTAATGCACCTGCAGCTTATTTTAATGGCAAATTTAATTTTCAGCATTTTCAATGCAACACTTTAACATCTAATACAATTATTTTATTTTATGTAACTGTCATCACTGCGAGTCAGAGTCAGGGCCTGAAGTGAAATCAGCGCAAGAGTCAAAACACAGGAACTGAAATTTAAAGCAACAGAACACAAGACATAAAAACAAAGAGTGTAGCTTTAAACCTAAACTCTGTGTTTTTATTTATTCATTTAAATTATTATTTCAAGGTCATCAATGAGCTGAATGAAAAGCTTCACGTGACCACATGGATCTGTAGAAAATACAACTGAACGCAAAGTTTAAATATTCACTTTTATTTCTTTCCAGAAAAAAGTAAAGGAAACTCGTCATTTAAATATTTAAACAAAAGATGATAGTTCAAGATCAGTTTTTAAAAAGGCGCCTGATAAAAGGTTGTTTTTTTTTGTTTGTTTTTTTTTTTGCCATAACGGGAAGGAAGGAGGGAGAGTTTGTAACATATCTACAACATTCCTTAAAACAGATTCATCCAACCTCCAGAAACGGAGCTTCTGTGTAGATTGTCTCTGTTACCTGAGAAAACACGAGTTCAAAGTGTCTTTAACGTGATTACTCATTGTTTGCAGTGTTGATGTGTTTGACCAGGTCCACGGTGCCACGATGAGTCTGTAGTTTCTGATACTCCTGGTGTAAACTGAGGAAGTGCGGAGCCGCCGCCGGGTGGAAGAGCGCCGGGGAGGCGTAGGCAGCGCTGGAGGTCAGAGGAGAGGAGTACGCGGTGCACTGGGCCGGGGAGAAAGCTTCGATGCCGGGCTGCGAATGGAGGAAGGCTTTGGCTGTGAGTGCGCCGCGGGAGAAGAAGCTGGACAGAGCCGGTAGGATGCTGCTGACAGGTGGGATGGTGGCGGGACCGCACGGTGAGGGCGCGTGGTGATGGAGGTAGGGGTAAATCTCCAGACTGGGCAGCTGCAGAGCCGCTGTGCCGAGCCCGTAGGCGCCGTGCGGGAAGCCGTGCAGTCCGCTGGGCTCCAGGTGCTGCTCCTTGAGCGGGTCGAAGCGGAAATGCTGCCGCTTGAAGCGCTTCCTCCTCCGCAGAAAACTCCCGTTCTCAAACATGTCCGAGGAGTTTGGATCCAGAGTCCAGTAGTTGCCCTTCCCGGGGTTCCCGGGCTCTCTGGGCATCTTTACAAAGCAGTCATTGAGCGACAGATTGTGTCTGATAGAGTTCTGCCAGGCGGGGAATTTCTCCCGGTAATAAACGAAGCGGTGGCTGATAAAGTCACAGATCTCGCTGAGGGTGAGCCGCTTCTTTGGACTCTGCAGTATGGCCATCGTTATCAGAGCGATGTATGAGTATGGAGGCTTCACCGACGTGGGACCTTTGGCTTTAGCAGGAGTTGCACACGCCGGTTCTGGGCTGTAAGTGTCCCGGTCTTTACTCTGGCTGCTGGAAGTCTCCGTGCCGCGGTCCTGCTCGCTCCGCGACTCATCCGAAGGTAAAAGTTGCTCCTCTCCGTTATCTTTGAGTCCTTCCCCCACCACGTCGATAACAATATCCTCCATGATTTCCAAACCCAATGTCATAGTAGATGCCCGCGGGTAAAGCCAACACCACCTGCCAACAGGTGGGACAGTGACAGCTCTTCTCTTTAAAGCGACGAACAGATTTTTACGCGCGACTCATCTCCATTCACAAAACGGTGAGAAATCCGAGCAACAATCCTCCTCCTACTTCTCAGGAAACAGACTCTCCAAACCGCAAAGCATCCGCGCTGATATCCTTTATTTTAGTACCTTAAAGCGCAAAAGAGCGGTCAGCGAGGGATCGTGCGTAAAGCGTAAAAGTGTGTGCGTCCTCCGAGATGTCCAGCATCATCTGTAATCTCCGTTGCTTTCCTGCGGGTCGGGTGGATGTGATGTCACGTCGAGGCACGAGGAAGAAGATTCTGACCAATGGAAACGACGCAACGGGTACCAAGAAGGCCTATACCAGCCTCCCAGTGCACTCTCATCATCAGCGCATCAGTGCCAAGTGGACGCGGACGTCAGAGATCCGTCCACTAAAAACATCCTAATGAACAGGAAAACAAAGGGAGATTTTTTTGGAGAGGAATAAACATTTTTCCTCATTAGGATAATTTCAGAGTCGTGTTGAAATGCTCAATTTGAACAATATGAGTAAAATAAACACCAGGATAGTTTATAGTTGGACTATAAGTCAAAAAAGCGCCATAATCATTCGGAAAAATGTGGTCCACAACATTTATGGCGGCTGTTCCTGAGATATAACTTTTTTATTTTTATTATTATTTTCCAGAAAGGATTCAGAAGACTTCAGAAGAAGATTTTTTTTAAAAACCAGAAGAAATTTAAACAATTATTGAAATGTGTTTCTTTTTTCTTCTTAAAAAAACAAGAAGGGGAAACCTGCACAAAGAAACAAACACAGGCATCTAAGGCGATCTAAATGTGCAGCGGTGCAAAGTGATAATAAAAGACACGATAAACACATATTTAGATTTTTAAGCTGATAGGCTCTGTGGGGACATCAGACCCTGAATTTAAACTCCGAGGGGGAAAATCCCCAAACACTTCTCTACGTGAGGTAGGGGCTAAAGCCTTAATCCCTCTGGAAGGCTGCTGCAGCCGCACTTTACGCACACACTTGACGCACAATTACATGTTTTCAGACGAAGGATAAAACTGCAATGACTGATTTTATGCTGCTGTGAAAATAATAATTTGTTGCCTGCCCTGCGCTGTGGCTCCTTTTGAATAAACTGTTTAGAGGTAGACTGTGTTCCCTTTGCAAAAACCTCCAGAGGTTGCACTCATGCTTCAGTTTCCCTGAGAGACATATTGATAAATATCACCATGTGTGAAATGGAGAAGGAATAATATTTAATCTGCAGTCTGCATAACCTGAGATTACTGAGGCAGAAACTCTACACTCTCTGTTCTCCACTTGAGCTCAGACTTATCAGAGTCCGGTCCGCCATAACCCCGTCAGATTATCTGCTTTAATAAATGGCAACTGAAAGTAGGATGGTGATATTGGGATGAAAGTAATAGATTTTCACTTGCTGGGACATAAAAGAGAAGTGAGGAGAGGAGGGCGCTTTTGGTATTGTTGGGAGGCCTCTGGTTGTTTGTGTTTAATGATGGAGCCCTTTGTTGGGGATTCCCACATTTCCTGCCTCTAATCGTATTGATACCTCGGGGCAGAGGGGGACTGGGTCCGGGCTGGGTGGGCTATACGGTACCAGCAAAGCTGCAGATGATTTGCCAAATTCATCACGCATGTCTTCAGATTGGAAACAGGCCCGCGCGCGCTGTGTGGTTTCAATAAGGCCGGAGCAGGAGCGTCAAATCACTACAAAAGCTGAAGGTAAGGCACTAAGGCGAGATCATCTGACGCCAGAACCTGCAGAGCCACGTGTTGAGAGTCGTTTCTGGGGACAAACGGCACCGGGGCCGATGATGGACACGACATTCCCAGATAATGGACCAAATTTCCCTTCGCTCGTGCAGCTGGTACTGAATGTTTCCCGATGTTACATTTGCAGATATGGCCTCCAATTTTTATTTCTGGTAATTTTATAGGACCTCCCGTCATGAAAGCTATGCAACATTAAATCTGGGGCTCAGTTTAAGGTGTTTTTCTTCTCTTCTTTTTATAAAACAGGCGAAACATGGAACCGTTCAAATCAATAAAGCCTCTCTTGATCCAGAGGACACATTACGCACACATTTGAGCAACAATAAATCTGCTATCTAACAAAAACGGCCATTGTGGAGATCTTATTTGTTTTGTATCGCAGATGAATAAGTGGGAGAGTGAGCAGCCACCGAGGGCTTGGTGTAATAACATCATTTGGCAGGAACTAAACAGGCCTGGGGGATCTCAGTGGATCATTCAGGATAAATGAACCTACATCCGCGCAGGTCAGAAACAGGGTTGGATGAAGCTGTTACGGGCTACTTCAGTTGAAATGTTTTCTTATCTCAGTGAAAACTTGAGGCCGATCGCATGATTCAGAGAGTGATAAAATAAAAAAAAAAGCTGAGTGTGTTTTTCATTGGGAGAAGTTGAAGAGGCTTCAAAGAGCTGAGGTTGTTTTCACATAATGCCCCCCTCTCTCATCTTGATCCCCTTAAAGTCTTGGCAGTGCAGTGGACAATAATATAACGTGTAATTTAAGGTATCATGAATCATAACTGCATGAAACAAAGTCAGACAACGCAGAGGTGCTGGGCCAAACACACATCTGACACACACACACACACACACACACACACACACACACACACACACACACACACACACACACACAGACACACAGGGCAGGGTATCTGTGTAAATTTCACGAGCTGAACTGGTCATTAACACAATATTTATGGGCTGTAACACACAAACCGATGCCAACTGTTTCCCTGTATCTCGTCATCTCACTGTGAGGACCCTCTGCTCAGTCACTGTGTCTGTGTGGACTCGTTTATGAGGACCGACACATCTGTATCTAAGTCCCATCAGTCACAGGACAGTGGCACAAAGACTCTGTGGCGACATCTTGTGGCGTAAAAGCAAAACGCCCTTTTTATTTAAATGAGAGTAGACAAAATATTAGAAACACCTCTCAGTATAAACATGTACTATTCAACAGCAACACAACAGAAATAAAACATGTTAACCTTTATGGAGGAAGAATTTAAAGTAGGGCTGATGTGCCTGTAGCTACATTAGCTCATAAACTAACTGTGTATATTTCGCTTGTTTAAAAAAAAAGAAAACAAAACTATACTCAGCCAAACATTATTCACTCCCACTAAGATGTATTTATCATAAGTTCTAATGGGGGTTTCTATTTATTGATATGTGGCTTTAATAGACATGGCATCTTGGATTTGAAAGGTTGACTCAGTGTTAGCATCATGTAGGCTAATTACTGAAATTATGTGTTAAAACAAGCAGATTCAGAATATGTATGTGTTTCTAATATTCTTTTTTAGTGTGACTTTATGACATATGTTCAGGAACATGTTAAAAATAGACTTTAGGCTAAATCTTGCACATTTAAAATATTACTGTTCCTACCAAAAAAAAAAACCAAACAAAAACAAGGGCATAGGTTTCCATATGGATGGTAGGGACATGTATAATAAGACATTTTTATGTCTCGCTATACTATGACGTTTTTATGCCTCACTATACTGTGACTTTTTATACCTTTTTATGCCTTAATATACTATGACATTTTTATGACTTTCTATGCCTTAATATACTATGACAGATTTATGCCTTTTTATGTCTTTTTATGCCTTACTATACTATGACATTTTCATGCCTAACTATACTATGACTTTTTTAGCCATTTTTATGCCTTACTACAGTATCATGTTTTTATGCCTTACTATACTATGTCGTTTTTATGCGTTTTTATGCCTTACTATACTATGTCGTTTTTATGCGTTTTTATGCCTTACTATACTATGTCGTTTTTATGCGTTTTTATGCCTTACTATACTATGTCGTTTTTATGCGTTTTTATGCCTTACTATACTATGTCGTTTTTATGCGTTTTTATGCCTTACTATACTATGTCGTTTTTATGCGTTTTTATGCCTTACTATACTATGTCGTTTTTATGCGTTTTTATGCCTTACTATACTATGTCGTTTTTATGCGTTTTTATGCCTTACTATACTATGTCGTTTTTATGCCTTTTTATGCCCTACTATACTATGACTTTTTTAGCCATTTTTATGCCTTACTACAGTATCATGTTTTTATGCCTTACTATACTATGTCGTTTTTATGCGTTTTTATGCCTTACTATACTATGTCGTTTTTATGACTTTTTATGCCTTACTATACTATGATGTTTTCATGCCTTACTATACTATGATGTTTTTATGCCTTTTTATGCCTTACTATACGATGACTTTTTATGCCTTTTTATGCCTTACTATACTGAGACTTTTTATGCCTTACTATACTATGACGTTTTCATGCCTAACTATACTATGACTTTTTTAACCATTTTTATGCCTTACTATAGTATCATGTTTTTTTATGCCTTACTATACTATGACTTTTTTATGACTTTTTATGCCTTACAATACTATGACGTTTTTATGTCTTTTAATGTCTTACTATACTATGACGTTTTCATGCCTTACTATACTATGATGTTTTCATGCCTTTTTATGCCTTACTATACTATGACTTTTTTATGCCTTTTTATGCCTTACTATACTGAGACTTTTTATGCCTTACTATACTATGACGTTTTTATGTCTTTTTATGCCTTACTATACTATGACGTTTTCATGCCTTTTTATGCCTTACTATACTATGTTGTTTTTATGACTTTTTATGCCTTACTATACTATGACTTTTTTAACCATTTTTATTTCTTACTATAGTATCATGTTTTTATGCCTTACTATACTATGTCGTTTTTATGCGTTTTTATGCCATACTATACTGTGTCGTTTTTATGCGTTTTTATGCCTTACTATACTATGACGTTTTCATGCCTTACTATACTATGATGTTTTTATGCCTTTTTATGCCTTACTAT